GCTTAAAATTCCTGTAAATGATTGGACCAGCTTTTTACACGTACTTAAATTTCCTGTAAATGACTTGACCAGCTTTTTACGCGTGCTTAAAATTCCTGTTACTGACTGTATCAGATTTTTACACCTACTTAAAATTCCTTATAAATGACTGGACCAGCTTTTTAAATATGCTTAAAATTCCTGTAAATGACAGGACCAGTTTATTACATGTACTTAAAATTCCTGTAAATGAAAGGACCACCTTTTTACACGTACTTAACATTCCTCTAAATGACCGGAAAAGCTTTTTATATGTGCTTAAACTTCGTGTAAATGACTGGATCATCTTTTTCCACGTACTTAAAATTCCTGTAGATGACTGGACCAGTATTTAAAAAACACGTACTTAAAATTCCTGTAAATGACTGGACAATCTTTTTACATGTACTTTTAATTCCTGTAACTGACTAACCAGCTTTTTACATCTGCTTAAAATTCCTGTAAATGATTGGGCCAGCTTTTTACACGTACTTAAAATTTCTGTAAATAACTGGACTAGCTTTTAACACTTTCATAAAAATCCTATGAATGAATGGACCAGCTTTTTACACGTACTTAAAATTTCTGTAAATAACTGGACTAGCTTTTAACACTTTCATAAAAATCCTATGAATGAATGGACCAGCTTTTTACACGTACTTAAAATTTCTGTAAATAACTGGACTAGCTTTTAACACTTTCATAAAAATCCTATGAATGAATGGACCAGCTTTTTACACGTACTTAAAATTCCTGTTAATGACTGGACAATCTTTTTACATGTACTTTTAATTCCTGTAACTGACTAACCAGCTTTTTACATCTGCTTAAAATTCCTGTAAATGATTGGGCCAGCTTTTTACACGTACTTAAAATTTCTGTAAATAACTGGACTAGCTTTTAACACTTTCATAAAAATCCTATGAATGAATGGACCAGCTTTTTACACATACTTAAATTTCCTGTAAAATGACTTGACCAGCTTTTTACACGTACTTAAATTTCCTGTAAATGACTGGACCAGCTTCTTACATACAATTTAAATTTCCTGTAAATTGACTGGACGAGCTTTTTACATATACTTTTAATTCCTGTAAATGGCTGGACCAGTTTTTTATACGTACTTAAAATTCCTGTAAATTACTGGCCCAGTTTATTACATGTACTTAAAATTCCTGTAAATGACTGGACCAGTTTATTACATGTACTTAAAATTCCTGTAAATGAAAGGACCACCTTTTTACACGTACTTAACATTCCTCTAAATGACCGGAAAAGCTTTTTATATGTGCTTAAACTTCATGTAAATGACTGGATCATCTTTTTCCACGTACTTAAAATTCCTGTAAATGACTCGACCAGCATTTTACACGTACTTAAAATTACGGTAAATGACTGGACAATCTTTTTACATGTACTTTAAATTCCTGTTACTGACTAACCAGCTTTTTACGTATGCTTAAAATTCCTGTAAATGATTAGACCAGCTTTTTACACGTGCTTAAAATTCCTCTATATGAATGGACCAGCTTTTTACACGCATTTAAATTTCCTGTAAAATGACTGGACCAGCTTTTTACATATAATTTAAATTCCTGTAAATGATTGGATCACCATTTTACACGTAGCTAAAATTCCAATAAATGACCGGAACCGCTTTTTACATGTGCTTAAAACTCGTGTAAATAACTTGACCAGCTTTTTACACGTACTTAAATTTCCTGTAAATGACTGGACCAGCTTTTTACACGTGCTTAAAATTCCTGTTACTGACTGGATCAGATTTTTACACCTACTTAAAATTCCTATAAATGACTGGACCAGCTTTTTAAATATGCTTAAAATTCCTGTAAATGACTGGACCAGCTTTTTATACGTACTTAAATTTCCTGTAAATGACTGGACCAGCTTTTTACACGTGCTTAAAATTCCTGTTACTGACTGGATCAGATTTTTACACCTACTTAAAATTCCTATAAATGACTGGACCAGCTTTTTAAATATGCTTAAAATTCCTGTAAATGACTGGACCAGCTTTTTACACGTACTTAAATTTCCTGTAAATGACTGGACCAGCTTTTTACACGTGCTTAAAATTCCTGTTACTGACTGGATCAGATTTTTACACCTACTTAAAATTCCTATAAATGACTGGACCAGCTTTTTAAATATGCTTAAAATTCCTGTAAATGACTGGACCAGCTTTTTATACGTACTTAAAATTACTTTAAATGACTGGACCAGCTTTTTACACGTGCATACAATTCCTGTAAATGATTGGACCAGCTTTTTATATATACTTAAAATTCCTGTAAATGACCGGACCAGCTTTTTACACGTACTTAAAATTCCTGTAAATGACTGGACCAGTTTATTACATGTACTTAAAATCCCTGTAAATAACTGGATTAGCTTTTTACACTTTCATAAAAATCCTGTGAATGAATGGACCATCTTTTTACACGTACTTAAATTTCCTGTAAAATGACTGGACAAGCTTTTTGCATATACTTTTAATTCCTGTAATGACTGGACCATCGTTTTACATATAATTTAAATTCCTGTAAATGACTGGACCAGCTTTTTACACGTACCTAAAATTCCAATAAAATAACGGAACCGCTTTTTACACGAGCTTAAAATTCCTGTAAATGACTGGACCAGCTTTTTACATGTACTTAAAATTCCTGTAAATGACTGGACCACCTTTTTACATGTTCTTTACATTCCTGTAAATGACCGGACCAGCTTAGTACAAGTACTAAAAATTCCTGTAAATGACTGGACCAGCTTTTTACATGTACTTAAAATTCCTGTAAATGACTGGACCGCCTTTTTACATGTTCTTTACATTCCTGTAAATGACCGGACCAGCTTAGTACAAGTTCTAAAAATTCCTGTAAATGACTGGACCAGCTTTTTACACGTACTTAAAATCTCCGTAAATGACTTGACCAGCTTTTTACACGTACTTGAAAATCCTCTAAATGACTAAACCAGCTTTTTACACGTACTTAAAATTCGTGTTAATGACTCGACCTGCTTCTTACACGTACTAAAAATTCTAGTAAACGACTCAACCATTTTTTTTATACTTGCTTAGAATTCATGTAAATGACTGGACAAGCTTTCTAATGTGCCTAAAATTCCTGTAAATGACTGGACCAGTTTTTTATACGTACTTAAAACTCCTATAAATGACTCGATCAGTCTTTTTTTGAACTTGTTGACATTGCTATGTCACCGTTATAGAGAAGAAACTTGCGTAACAAATGAAGTGTGATATATCTTAAATATGCCTTTTAAACCTTTACCCTAACCAATGACACCCAATAGAAGACTCTTTGTAAACGGCTGTAAATCTAACAATTGTACACCACTTGAGCGAATATTGTATACATAGGTAATTGTCCTGAGCTGTTTAACCAAATATGGCCCAAAAGCCTCTTTCAATCTAACAAGAACTCAGATATTAAGATATTAACAAGAATAGCCTGAGAACAATAGATTATCGTCAATTGTAAAACTTGTTAATTGTATACCACTGCATGATGGTTAAAAGGACAAGAGTAATGACCCTTGCTATAACGGAACATTTCTGTGCTATTTATGTATTAATACTCCTTAAAGTTGACTCGCTCGTTTTCTCTAAGTAGGCCGCACTAACCTTCCAGCTGTCACTATTATATGAAACGTTTTAGTGTTTTATTCTCCTCAAGCAAAACCATTATATTAAAGTATCCATATAGCGTGTAACCAATTTTGAGTACACACAAGAAAACAATTCTAGAGTTATGCAATTTTGAGTACACACAAGAAAACATTTCTAGAGTTATACATAAATAAAGTATCCATATAGCGTATAACTAATTTTGAGTAAACACAAGATAACAATTCTAAAGTTATATATAAATAAAGTATCCATATAGCGTATAACTAATTTTGAGTAAACACAAGATAACAAGTCTAGAGTGGGCTTTATCCTGCCTATACAGCAATAGGTTGTAAAACTATATTCAGTAAAAAGTCGGACACATGATTTAAAAAGAATTTCAGCAGGCGTGCTACAGAAACACTGGTTACCATCATAAGACAACTTGACCTATACAGAGACTTCGTTTTCATTGGTATAGCTACAAAAGATTTTTTTATGATTGAAAATAATGAGCGATATGTTTTCACGCGTCTCTAAGTCATATCTTTATATACCTATTGATTTTAAGTATATTCATTTGCCTTGTTTATATTAGATTACTTTTTTTGCAAGATTCTGAGAAGTACGATGTATCTCTAGGTCTGCTAGCCGCACATTCAAGCTATTATTTTCTTATTATCACCAAATTTACCAATATTTAGGACCACAGTCGTAATGTACCACTGTATACCCTACACGTGGAAATATTGAAAAAGTCAAAAGGTCTTTTAATCTATCTTCAGCATTCTCTTTCTAAAAGATGTCTTCTATCTGAGCATTGACTATTCCAATCTTTACGCTACCATACCACATAATAAACGGAAAAAAACCTGTGTTCTTTTAATATGAAAGATTCCTTTTTCACGAAAGGCAAACGAGGTCATATGAACAAATCGTGAACATGAATGAGAATGTCTTTTTGAAGTTCGGTGGCAAACATTTCTCAGGTTGTAGAGTTTCCTGTGAGAACGGTGTATGTCTCTCTTTTTCGGTTTGTTAAGGAATTCCTTGGTAATCTTGCCGTTGTTAATATCTGCCTTCGTTTGTGTGTCGAGTGCGAGTTAAAATCAAATTTACGTTGACATCAAGGCATTTGCTTTCAAACATATCAGAAGGAAACAAAGAAAAGCAATGCTGAAGCGGAAAGATATCAGCATACATTTCCACAAACACCAATCAGATGAAAAATCAAATTAATGATAACAGATACGTGCAATAAATATAAATATTAGATTTAAATAAAAAAAACGTTGGGTCCTTCCCCACATTTATCAGATAGTGGTGCTGTTCAAATCGCTCTTCTGCCGTCTGTCATTCCGTCAGTATGTCTGCCGTCTGTCATTCCGTCATTATGTCGGCCGTCTGTCATTCCATCATTATGCCGGCCGACTGTCATTCCGTCATTATGTCTGCCGGCTGTCATTCCGTCATTATGTCTGTCGTCTGTCTTTCCGTCATTATGTCTGCCGTCTGTCATTCCGTCATTATGTCTGTCGTCTGTCTTTCCGTCATTATGTCTGCCGTCTGTCGTTCCGTCATTATGTCTGCCGTCTGTCATTCCGTCATTATGTCTGCCGTCTGTCATTCCACCATTAAGTCTGCCGTCTGTCATTCCGCCATTTAGTCTGTCGTCTGTCATTCCGCCATTAAGTTTGCCGTCTCTTATTCCGTCATTATATCTGCCGTCTGTCATTCCGTCATTATGTCTGCCGTCTGTCATTCCGTCATTATGTCTGTCGTCTGTTATTCGCCATTAAGTCTGCAGTTTGGCATTCCGTAATTATGTCTACCGTTCGTCTGGCATTTTGTTGTTAGCCCTATTATTCAGAGAGTACAGAAGGGATCTTTCTCATATTTCACAGGCATGTTTCCTATGTTGATTAGTTACACATATCGAATTTCGGGCCAAAGTTATTTGTGCTATATTCCAGCGACTACTGTAGGGATATTTTCGAAACTTCACATGTAGCTTTCCCGAAGTCCTTCCTGCTCAGATTGCTTTTTGTGACTGATGGTAATTTTAAGCTTTGGTTCTTATTAGCATTATTTTCAAGAAAATACAGCAGCAATCTTTCTCAAATTAGCCTATAGGTTTCCAGTGGTCCGTCATATTGTATGCTAAATTAAGAGACCGATTAGAACAAAGGCCTCAAGACAGCCATTTGGAATAATCACAGTTCAATTTTCTTATTGTTTTTTTCCTTAGAATTACTGGGCAGGTATTTATCAAATTTGAATTGTTTATATCCATAGGTCATATTTTACAAAATATGTTCAGAGACAGTTCAGTCTCCGTTCACATTCATGAAAAGGAAAACAATAATAATAATACGAGAACGAAGGCGTTCTCTCAGTTTTACACAAGACATAATATTTGATTGTATCAGTGAGATATATTAATTGTAGATCAATTTCACCGTTATAAACATATTGAAATTGCCACCCACCATTTAAGCTTTAAGATTTAACCTTTTGCATACATTACGATCTGAGTCTAGGTCTTAACAGTCCTGTCAAACGGCTTTTGAAGGAATCAGCAGCGATTAAATTATCAGACAACACATCATACACTCGCCAAAAACATGTGGTTATGCCAATAAAATCAATCAGATGTGATCAACTTCTTCGAAACCCATCCCCATACAACGATGACCCTGGCTTTTGCGAGGACGTTAAACCCCAAACAAACAAACAGAACATCTGAAATAAATGAATTGATCAAGAGACTATGACAAATTATTTCAGCTACCCTGGAAACTTGATATAACCATAACACTGTCTATTCACCGGACAAATAGTACCAATCACAGAAATTTAATGCTGGTTTCATAATTCATAAACAACATTTCTAGCTATCGAATGCATATACATAAACAGTATATATATTTAAGTTGCATTCCACTGATGCATACAAATCACAGCCCAAATATACTATATTGTAAAGAAACATTTTTAGTGGAAGACAGATATGATAACATTGTGGCAAAATATGATCAAATGAACCAATGATATGGAGTCCCTTCAAAAGTACGACAAGATATAACCAGGTGTGCTGGGAACGAAAGCATCGTCTGCTTTATCGACTTCATGCGATTGGTAAGCTTAAGAAAACGCAAGCTATGTCATGTCATCGTAGCGATAGCCAGGGTAATGACGCAGAAACAACAATTAGCATAATAACCTTCATATCACACAAAGAAATAGTATATTTCCAAATTATATAATGAAGGTGACTGTAAAACCCTGTTCATATTCTGGATTAGCCTGCATCTCAGAAAAGCCCTTGTTATATATTTGTCCGTTTTCATTCGATGTCTATCGGAAATCATGATTTTCAGAGCAATCTCTTTAATACAAAATAATTCAGGAAGCGACCATGTTTCTATCAGGAAATGGAATTTTCTCGATAGGAAATTTGCAATCGCCCATCGTATTACAAAGCTTAGTTCGATGTCGTCCCTATTTGTCACATCGTAAATAAAAAGAAGATCGAAGATTTCATGTTCAGCAGGATATGACGGATCGACTTGTTCAATACATTTCTCCTTCTTTTCTAATTAGCTAATAGTCTATCTATCTGAAAGTTGAAATAAGGATAGGACAAGATTGTTTTACCTGTCCTGATACGCTTTTTGATAGATTCAGCCTCATATGAAAACAAAAACCAGAAATCAGGAGATGGGCACTGATTGGTCCCATATGAATGATTACAGTCTAAGATTGTGATTCAAGCTTGCGTGATGATTTTACCCTGGATATGTGCATGCCTATTCTGATTGTATAGCATGTAAGTGTATGATAGTTTATATCAATATTGTATAATGTCTACCTAGCAAGTGAGAGTCACATGTAAGATTACCTAAGCTTGGTATTTTAACCCTTAATAGTTTTGTTTATTAAACTTCTGTTAATTATTTCAGCGTTTCACTCTGACCGCTATTGCTACATTTTTATTTTTTTTGTGTTTTGACAGATCATCGGTGGAGCTGCTAGTAGATGGCCCCTTGATGGATAACACAACATACGTGTTTGTTGATGTGTCCTTGAACGGTACCAACATCTCCGGAAGTAACACCAACACCCTGGAACAGGTTCCATTTTACAATTTTGTCCATGGATTATACCTCTACGCTATTCCACTGATTACAATTTTCGGGGTACTTGGCAACGTCTGTTCCTTCAAGGTGTTCATATGTACCAGTTTCAGCAGACACCCCTCCAGTATATATCTCTCGGTGCTCAGTGTTTCAGATACCTGGTTTCTATTGGCTCTGTTTCTCGGATGGCTTGGAAGTCTGGATGTCCGTTTTTCCGAGAACGGTGCCTTGTGTATGGTGTCTGTATATGTGACGTACATAACCAGTTTTCTGTCTGTGTGGTACGTAGTACTCATCATGTTTGAACGTTATATTGTCGTCTGCCATCCACTAAAGGCTCCATCATTGTGCTCAAAGAAACGATCAGGAATAGCCACGTGTGTAGTAACGGCGTTCCCCATCTTGTTTTACGCGCACAGTTTTTTCACAATGGAAATTGTCATAAACTATTCAGGAAAACGGACGAGCGCTTGTCAAATGATTGACGATGATATAAATCTCATCTCTGTTATAACGTATGTAGATTCAACCATCACATTTATTGTTCCTTTCATTGTCATTTTCACCCTTAACGTTTTAGTAATCCGGGCCATTCGAAGTTTTACCTACAGGCATGTGAGTCGGCATGAGAAAAAATATTATTCACCTTCCCATAATACTTTATCAAAAGCTCAAATGAGGCTCACAATCATGTTAATGGTGGTTTCCATAGTATTTCTTGTGCTCAACTTGCCCAGTCATGGAGTGAGGTTTTACATAGCGGTGAATAATCTCATCTACCAACCAAACATATCCTTGTTTCTCACTCAACAGGTCTGTCAAATACTCTACTATGTCAATTTTGCTATCAATTTTGTCGTCTACGTGTGCACAAGTAAAACCTTCCGACGGAGCTTAAAGGAACCACCTAGATGTGGAACACTTGCCCACTTGCCCTGCCGAAAAGGTGGACATTGAGAAATAGTTTGTAGTGATTAAACATGAAGATTATGAATTAGTAATAACTTATTCTGAAATATTTTCATCGATAAAACATGTCAATATTTACTTTACAACTAACGTAGGGCTTTCACAAACAGATTGGAGTTGTTTTTATAAAACATGTATACACCAATTGCAGTTGATACAAACTGCCTTTTTCTGCCTAACAATGATGTTGTCACCATTATAGAATAATAACGCAACCATCATATGGGCTGTTTTATTGCCATGACATGAATAGTATGGGAATAATATTTATGGGCGGATTGGTCGAGTGGTTAACACTCCGCCCTTCCAAGCAGGCGACCGGGGCCCGATCCCCGGAGTCGCAGTACGCATGGAATATTAGAGAAAGAGTTTGTCTCCTGCCCACACAACTCCAACAACCCAGGTGGAGTATAAAATAGTCTGGGGTGGGTGTTGCGGTATCTGTGCTGTAGCATTCAAGTGAGGTGGCACTATAAATGATACCGTTGGAAGCACGGGTCTACTACAAACAGAACACAATACATCTCCATCACACATACAGGCATACACGCATAAGGAGATATTAGTCAGGTGGCATAGGCCTAGTAGTTAGCGCCTGATAAGACAGCTCCTGCGAATTCCTCAATATTGTATTGATTAATATATATGCTAATTGTGTTGACTGTATTACAATTGTATATCTATGTACTGTAAAGCGCTTTAGAGTGGCTTATGTTAGCTAGATAGGGCGCTATATCAAATGTTGAATATGTATTTATTTATTTATTATCACAAGAAGTAATGTAGTCACCACCCATATAAATCTCTCTTTTTAGCGTAAATAAAACTCTTATTTGTTGTTTTTTCCCTTAGTTTCCTTGCGATCATTCACTGATTGATATTTAAAGTCGCCGTTAATAGTTCATTCTATAAACTGACATCTGTCTGTTTCTCACAAAGCAATTAACTAAATTATTATGCCAATTGCACTTGTGAAACATTCCGACCAGTCCATGTGACCTATTGGAAAATGCACAACACATATACATATGTGTATCAGTACATATGTGACGAATTTATAGATTACAAAAAAGGCAGTATGTTCTTATTTTAGCGATTTCCCTAACCCTAACCCTAACCCTAACACTAACACTAACACAAAATCCCTAACAGCAGGGTTTCATCGAAACAATGAATGTGCTTTAAAACTAAATGTTGGAATTATTAAATCTGTATTTGACTTGGATTAGTACATGTATATGGATGATTTATTAATCACACATTGTCGTTTTGACATGCAAGTATCAGATTATTCTATGTATATGGATGATTTAGTTATCACACATTGTCGTTTTGACATGCAAGTATCAGATTATTCCATGTTTATGGATGATTTAGTTATTACACATTGGCGTTTTGACATGCAAGTATCAGACAAACAGGAAGGTCACTTTGAATGACGCGTGATACAATTTAGTGACCCTTGAATCTGTCGGGGTTTGGTTGGAATCAAATTTATTAATGGACTTATTTTGACAAAACTACATGATATTTTGTATTACTTCTGCATAATTTTGATGCATTGTGTGACTCAAAAGCTACAGATACCATAACTTACTGAAAAAAGCATGCCCATGTTTAAAAATTAGGTCACGGTTACCAAGTGTTATATTGGCTTCATTGTGTCAACTCTATTTGATGTCTAAATACACACAGAGACTTTACAATTATCATGCCAGATTTGAAAAATTGAGCATTGTAACATAATATCAAGATAAATAATTAAGTGATGAGTACGTACATTGCTGTCTAATTGTAACTATGCTATTATGGTTGAAATTAAGGTATGTACGTGGAAATATTAAATTTCTCTTGTAGTGATGGAGAACTTAGGTATCATAAAAGGAGTTATTGTCATTCCCTGACATAAACAACCTCCAGTAACAATTTGGGAGGCGGTCCTTATGTCTGTGAATAGAATATAACATACCTTTAATGCAGCTGGTATCATGCACCTTGTCTCATATTTCAGTTAGTTCAAGCTTTTACTTGAAATACCTGGCAAGCGTACCTAATAATTACAATAAGTTTATATATTAATACTAATTTTTTTGTGAATGAGCCTAGCGACTAAACAACGACTGGTCTGAGAAAATCTTGACTAAATTAGATGAACAGACCACATGGGTTTTGTGAACAATGTTTACTTGCCGAAATATTCACGATTGAAGTTCCATTTTAATCCGCTTTGCTACTTCCAGTCGCCATTTTGTAAACAGGGCCTATTCTCGAGGTGATGCGCGTTTGAAAGAGTTTGAAGTATTGCAAAGCTTCTAAACGATCATGCACAGAACATACTCTCTAAGGATGATGTATTTGAAAAATTTACTATCGATTATTTACTATATTTTTTTTTATCACTTTCATTAATTCATAAAAGAACATTTTTTTTTTCTTTCAAAAGTTAAAACCACGGACTTAGATAACAGGGATTGGCAACTCCAATTTTATCTCGCGTATGTATTGTCCACCTCTTGTATTTGTGCACCGAACCGTGACGACTGTACTGCGCTTGCGTGCGACTTTACAGACAAGTTTCCGGTATCGATAACCACGTTGTTTACCTAGGTGATGAGAGACCGAGAGTGCGATACTGATTTGACAGATTAATAACACAGTGCAATCATCGTGGCTAAAACTTTAGAAAACGAATGCATACAAGTGATGATGTCGCCAGCTTATCTGTTTATGTCAAGCAGCATCAGGTAAGTATCTGATCGGAAGATACATCATTATCAAATGTGACTGGCTTTTTATCCCGTGATAGTTATTTAGATTTAGACTTTTTAATGAAAGAATTTACCGATAATGAACGTAATACTTGATATTTCGGAGGTGGTAAGACGTCTCTGGTTATAGGCAGCTAGCTATATTTTGAGGGCATACACAGCACGGTAGAAGCACAGGGGTTCGTTACAAATGTCTAATACACATGTACATGTGCTATACTGATGTAGGTCACAGCACATGTATGTTTATGTGGACCGTGACCTATATCAGTATGGCAAAACGTTATGTGTATTTTGTAACGAATCCCCTTTTGGGTAAATGACTTAAAGGGTTAACTTTTAACAATAACTTTGTCTCCTATTCCATCATTCTAAATTGAAACCATTTATGAATACAGAAACATCAGCTGACCTTTTACCTTTGTATGTTATTATCGAAATTTTGAGAGAGGTTATTTAATACATGTACCTTAAAAATAGAACACTTTTATAAGTTTATATTTCTAGGCAACTATCAAAGGCATTTTTCAAACCTGGATTCTATCTTGGCTCCACGTACATGTATATACAGAAATATATTTCTGTGACATTATTTCAGTTGAAATGATTTCAGTTGAATCTGATAACATCACAGCAAGTTACATTACAGCCCGGAGCTAATTCTAATGAATTCATTGAATTAAATGTCACTTATTAGCAAGTATATGTATATCATATACATATTTTGGTGCAACTTATTCACAATTACTCCACATGGTGCATTTTCGCAGCTCCTTTTTTTTCTTAATGTATTCTGCGTTAACAAAATGTGACATAAACTTCTGTCCCATTACTATGAATCAGGCTTAAAATAAAAACGTTTGTCTAAACCAGACTTTCTCAAAAATGGACAAAATAGTTGATTCTGCGAAAGGACATGTCTATTTGATATTTAATGTCTTTGTTGTAAGCAAAATATCACACATTGTAGTATCATTTTTCTGGTTTCAGAAACTATATAGCAAGTCCAAAGTATTCAAATAAATAGGCACCAGTATGATTTAAATTTGAATTCCATCTTTTTCAACTAGCCAAAATGAAACTTGCTGTTCCAGGGACAGCTCCAGCACCCGTGTTCCTGTTTACAGCACCACTAGCTCAGATCTGTTGTTCTACAGGTACCAAGCCCACTCCTTAAAGCTATTATGTTAACGTTGTCAGCAACAATTGTCAGCATCACTTAAATCATCAATATATTCCTAAAACATTGATGATATTCAACTTCTTTGAAAGAGTAACTTAAGCTTTTTGTGACTTTATTCCAAAGAACACTGGTTTGGTAACTTTTTATTTTTGTGTTTTTCAAGACATTTTTTCTTTGACTGATTTAGATGTGTCAGCTGTGTTAGAAAGAGAACAATTATTAAAGAAGCTACATCCAGTTCGAATAAGTCCTGAGCTTAAAACACAGTTTACACTTGTATACAGATTAAAGGTTACGATTCACATATATCCAATTGATTATTATCTTTCAAAATTGATGTGTTGCCGTTTTGTTATTCAATAGTATTATTACTATTTATGTGAGAAAGTTGGAACATGTTTCATATAAATCACACTTAGACAGAACCAAGAGCCTGCAACCTTTTGCTGTAAGTTAACAAAATAAAGAGATGCACTTATCTAATTAATTATTTCATTTGTGTTAACAAAGTTATATATACTTTGTGAAAATAGACAAGCACATGTAACATTTTCACAGAATATGAGAGTTTATTGTCCAATGTCTATAATAAATTCCATATGCTTGATTTTGTATGATATACATACAATGAACAGGGCTAAGTTGAACCATTTCATCAGTCAAATAACATTTTCCTTCAGGTTTGGAGGGTCAAAATCATATCATATTGACATATTCATTCAAATTAAACAAAGATTCTAAAGATGTAATTTTGGAGAGACAAAAAAACACTAATCGAGGATCAACTTAAAGCCCTGAAGTAAGTGACTGGATGTATTTTCATGACTTTCCATGCACACATCACATGTTCATTGTACTTATTGTGTGTTTAAAACTGAATAAAATCTTCAAAATGAATATATAGCTATTTTTTATTTATTACTCACAGGTGACATACAATGTAACAAGCTTGAGTGGTGATATACAAATTGTATTATAATTCAATGTTAACTCTGATAAAAATGAACTGGATAATTGATTTAAAATTTATTTTTCTG